CTTTACAGGCTAGGTTACTAAGAACAAGTTGAACTTCTTTCTTAATTTCATCCCGACTGATCATTTTGCTGGCATTTGATTCCTTCTTCGTACTCCCTGTGTTACGTTTCTGGCGAGTGTATTCCCTGCAAGAGATTTTGACTCAATGACTGGATGAGAAAAAGTAAGAAGGCCGTGCTTGCTCATATAGGTGAAGGAAATATAGCGGAGGGCGTTATGGGCGCACATGCACAGCCCCCTTGACTTAGTTTTTCAATTCTATGGAGCGATTGTAATGAGTAAATTCAGCTTAAAAATCCTGGGTATATTACATGATGTACCTAAACGTGTCACAACTTCCTTCACGTACAACCTCATATGTGATGGCCGCGGCGGTTTGTCTAGAGCTACCGAAGTCTGTGAAGCTTTGATCTCCGAGTATAGGGATTATACGATCCTCGTTTAATAATAGCCATACTATACCAATGTGCTCTTAAATTTTCTTTTACCTTAGTGCCCATATCCTATTCAACGTGAGTCAATTCAGAATAGGGCTATGAAAGAACTATCTCAAGTAATCAGAAGAAGGGGTATTTCAATAGTAACACTGAGGACATATACACACCTTCCGCCAGATCATTGTTTGTCTCCGTACGGGTAGAATGACTCATTTCATCATTTACAGTTTTTCTTGGCACGGGATTTTCTCCACTGTGTCGAGAAGTCAAAAGTCTGATAGCATCTCGATGTGCGTGCAACTCCAACTCAACGTGAATCAGAGCCACGAAGCAAATAAAAATAGAGACTCTTTGTAACATTGAAGTGACATTGAAACTGATCCAGTTTTTGAATTAGAACGAACCTTTGTCGTCTCCATTGCAGTTAAAGATTGTTGACACAGCATGGAAAGTTATTGAGACATGTACTGATTGCAAAAGCCTTTTTAACACAGTTTCGCTTAATGAGAAGTTTCATTTAGTTCCTTTAGGGCTTTTTCCGCATTACGATAGGTTGATCATTATCCTAAAAAGATAGCTCGGAAAAGGATGCTTATTGTTTGTTACTATATTTACAAAGCGTTGTTTTAACAAATGATCGCAGAAAGAGAAAATAATCTCCTCGTGAAATCATTGGAGGAACGACCGTCATAGAGTAGCAATACAGTACGCCCATCTCTCCACCCCTTTTCCTCAAGATCTATTTCAATCAGGCCTTCCAGATTTCTCCAGTCAACTATTTAGCACGACCTCACGATGAAAAGGTTACAGTGAACATGAAACAGTGCTGGATCAATCTACCAATGCAAAAACAAATGAATTGGTGTATTTATTGCATTTGAAACCATTTAGGAGTAAATAGCCGAAAAGATATGTCGGTCTAAAAGTAAAATATGTCTATCTTCAAACCGAGTTAGTTTGTTTGCCTTCCCCTTAAAGAGGGCGTGATTTTCACCCTGTTTACGGATGCTCAACTGCATAATCTACAAACAGACGAAACGTTCCTTGAAGGTAACATGATCTACCTGTAATAGGAGATTTTGATTGAAAAAGAAACAAACCAAGATAAGAAGTAAGACAGGTCACGTCTTTGAAAATACTGAAACATTACAAAATCACAAAATGTCGGACTTGATACTGATTCGTTAATGCGCCTGTATTGTTACTTCCGTCAGAGCTTATTTCCGCATTATTGTGCTGCGGTGAGATCAAGTTTACTGTTTTGAATTTGCTGAAAAGGCAGTTAATTTATATTTTGTTTGATGGGGAAATCTCTTCAGGATATGATGCATTAGCCTGCATGCCCGACGTAAAAAAGGGGAGGATGATAAAAGCGATCCTAGAACGCTTTCGACGCCTGCCGCACAAGCGAATTGTGCAGTTGTGTATACTCAGAGAATCGGCTGTTGCAGCTATTGGGTTTTCAATTAGTCTATTTAGACTTTATACGATTACGTAAAATTACTCAGACAGCATCTCTTTGGAATCAATCAATTCGCACAGACGATATGGCGAAGCATTTGCACCCCGGGGGGGGGGGGGG